AACCTCGATTCCAGAGTCTTTAGAAGAGTTTTAAATTCCTTGAGGGGTATTAAATTGTGCAAACGGAAGTTTGATGCCAGAAGTAAAGCCGGTGTGTCTCTCTACAACACTGTCAGGATTGGTCCTCTCCCTTCGGCACGACCATACACACACACACACACACACACACACACAACGGTCATCCGTGGTAATGCAGTACCGAGATTCATCGCTGAACATAGTATGACGCCAATCGTCAACAGTCCATGCCTCCCGGTTACAGCACGTGGGACAGTGAACCCATAGTCTATCTGATGCCAGTCGTCAAGAGACGGTGCAGGATGACACAAGGCCAATGCAAATCAAGTCATTTACGTACCCATCGCTGGTCTGTATGTGAACCAAATTACATCCAAATCGGACCATTACTTCAGGGTGCTTAACTTTTTTTTGTCACTGAGTGTAAATTGAATCAATCAACTACACAATGCTAGTTATAATGCTGAGGTATTATTAGTATTAATTCATCTAATGCTACATACTTACATTGTACCAGCTTTGTATTTTCTGAAAAAGAGAAAATGCATTCAGTGATTCAGGGCATAAAGTACTAAATACATAAATAAGCATAAATTTTACACGGATGATGGCAGTTGCTCGTTAATTTACTATATAAGTCTTGTCTATCAGTCTGCTAGCTGCTTACATTCATTGGCATGTCTGTATCAGCATAAATCTCTCTCATGGTGTTGGCCCTTCTGCATTCCCACAGAGCAAAAACATTTTAATGACAAACTGTGCTCAGCAAGTATCAGCAAGAACAAGAAGGCCATAACCTTCCTGGCTACCTAGGAGCCCCACCTTGGCATTACGTGTGAAGTGTCGAGGGGCAAGGGCGTAGGAGGAGGATGATGATGAAGAGGGAGTAGGGGTCAGGGGGCTGTCAGAAACCCCAGCACTGCGCTCCTGGCTCCAGTCACCCTCAGCAGTCCTACCCACCAGCATTCTGCGACGCATGGAAGGCGAGCTGCCCGGCGTGCTGCGTGGAGAGTTACTGGCAGTGCTGCACAAGACAAGCAAGGAAAAGAGGAAACGTTTACAAGGAATAACACAAACAAAGAAGCAATTAGTTTCGGTCCAACGTCAGCTTCTTCTGTTTTTGCATCTTGAGCATGCTGGAAACGTGGGTCGAGGTCATTAACAAAGTTTAATTAGTTCAGTAAAAATTCTTTTAGAATGAAAAAAAGTTTTCTTCCCAATGATTATAAATCCCAAACAAGCATGTGTTTAAAGTTTACTTATCAAAATCAGCCATACCAAAAATGGGGCCAAGCAGACTATCACGTCATAAATACAATGGAAATAAATTCAGAAAGAGGAAATACAAGAACAGAGGAACATATAAACTAGGGCTGCACGATTCTGAAAAAAATGTGAATCATGATTTTTTGCTTAGAACTGAGATCACGATTCGACCTGCATGAAGTTGGCCCCCCATATGTTTCAGATTTCAACCAGACTGATCTCAATCGTATGTGCCACGTTTGTGCCAGGTTGTGCCGTTAAAATAGAGCTGGGCGATATGGCGAAAAAAATAATCACAATATTTTTTCCTGTATTGACCGATATCGATAATTATCAAATTATAGTTTCACAATGCTGTTCCATGTAATAATGTAATAATCAAAATAATAATAAAAATAACCCTATTCTGACCAGGGCTGTGGAGTCGGAGTCGGAGTCGAGGAGTCGGAGTCGGAGTCGGAGTCGGAGCATTTATCTACCGACTCCACAGCCCTGATTCTGACAAATAGAATACATTGAAATAAACAATATTAATAAACAAATACTTATTTTCCAACAAATTTTACTGTTTACATAAAAATTCCCTTAAAAATATAAAAGGTTATTGATTTTCAAGTATTCAAAGAAGCATAGCTCAAATGAACAAAACCATATAATAATGTAAGAATGTGCAAAACTGTATAATATTGCAAATATGTTAAAGGACAAACATAAAATAAAGCAGGACAGAACTGACTACAACAAGTATCTTCCTCTATTCTTGGTCTCTTAAATTTTTTTTTTAATTCTGAGGTAGAAAAGTATTTAAACCAAACAAAAAACACTTATTAAAAAAAAAAGCCAAATCATGGTTAGATTTTTTTTGTTCGGCGCTGCAAAACGTCACCACGCGTCACCATGTCACATGGTACAAAATCCTCGCGGGAACAAGACGACTTGAGACAGACCGTGCTGCAGAAACTGGAACCACCTCCATGATGACACAACTTTGCCCTTATTGGCTGAAGATTTTAGTCACACGCATGACGTTTGTATCCCAGGAAGTTCCAATGCGTTATCTGCTATTTCTCCCGAA